GCGGGCCCTCAGATTCCTCCTCTTCCTTCTCAGAGGATGCTGAAACATCCCTGAAAGGACAGGAGCAGAGGGAGGGAAAAGCAAGATGGCTGCAGTGCCTTCAGTGAGTGCTGAGCACAACCCCTGAGCACAACTCAGCATCTCATTTCATCCTACAGCCCCGGGACAGGTGTTGCTGCATCCCCATTCCACAGGAGAGAAAACCAAGGCACAGAGGGTACAGCGATGGCCCAAGGTCACAAAGGAAGTGGAATGCATACTAAGGCTGCCAACAGATAGGGGAGATGCTGCCAGGCCCGTCGGCCTGTCCAGCCCAGGCCTGCTGGCAGCATCTCCTGAGATCGATGGCCCTCTGTCCCACTCCAGCTGCCTGCAGGACATGAGTGCCTACAGCAGGGCCCTCATTCAAGGGCCAGCAGTGCCAGCCCCAAGCTGGACAGAAAGCAGACTGCCCATACATGTGGACCCATGGAAGGTCGGAAGGCATCTTGAGAGGCAGCCAGCTCATACTAGGGTGGACAGATGGATGGGTGGACAGATGGATGGATGCAGGGCTGGGGAGTATGCTGCAACACAGGGGAGCACAAACCAGGGTGGATTTGCCATAACTCACAGGGCGTCCACAGACGGATGGGGCATGTCAGATCCCCCACAAATGGACAAGGTGTCTGAGACCACCACAGACGGATGGGGCATCTCAGACTACCACAGACAGACGGGGCATCTCAGACCACCAAAGACGTGGTGCCTCAGACCACCACAGATGGACAGCACCTCAGACCACCACAGATCGATGGGGTGTCTCAGACCCCTACAGAAGGACAGACCAGCACAGGTGGACAGGGTGCCTCAGACCATGAAAGATGGATGGAGCATCTGAGACCCCCCCAGATGGACAGGGCATCTCAAAGGGCCTTCCGTTCTCAGCTGTGCAGGGTGAAAGTCCGTGGCCAAGATGCTGGCAGTGTCCCTGCCTGGGGAGGGTCCTCTTCCTGGCCTGTGGAGCTGCCTTCTCACTGGCTCCCCATATGGTAGTGAGAGAGGATGGGGGAACTCTGGGCTCTTCCGCTTCTCATAGGTACACTCATCCCATCATGGGCTCCACCCTCACCACTGCATCTAAACCCAGCCACCTCCCAAAGTCCATTGTTGGGAAAAGGGCTTGTGGGAAAAGGGCTTGTGGGGTGCCTGTATAAACTGGCCATGAAAATATGGGACAGTAAGTTGTGGAAAGCCACAAGAGGCCTCTGAGGAGGAAAGCCTCCTAATTGCCATCATGTTCCCATGCTCAGAGCAAGATCCGGTCTTTTATCTGTAAACATGGTGTTCAAGGAGAAAGACACTCCTTTGAAGCACTGGAATGTGGACAGACGTGCAGGCTCCTAGTTAAGTCTGCTCCCACTAGCTACTCTCCAGTAAGTTAAAGATACGTTGTTTGAGCACAAAGGAGATTCATTTAAACCGCTACGGCTATAGATTATGTGTATGATGCACTGCCACCCTTTCACTGTTTCGCCCTGAACATCTGCTTCTCAGATCTAAGTGACTGTACTCAATAAATAGGGTGGAGACCAGAGCTCTGAGCCTTTTGCAGCCTCCATTTTGCAACTGGCCCCCTGGCTCCCCACCTTTCAACTCAACCTGTCTCTTTTCAATCCTTTGTCCCCACCAGACTTTGGGTACCCTACGGGTGGTGTTGAGGCTGGTCCTCAATACCCATCACACTGGGCCAGGGCTGGGACTGAGTTTTGGAGACCCACAAACAGGGACAAGCACGATGGGGTGACAGGGACCTCGTGAGATGCTGCAGTGAGGCTCCAGGGCAGCCCCTGGCTCAAAGCAGCCTTTGCTGCGAACGACAGAGCTGTGAAGATGGGGGCAACTCGGGAGCCCCATCTCGGGAGGGAAACGTTCCCTCCGTCCACCAGGCAGTGACACGGGTGGCAGAGTGTGCAGGCAGGGACGGGAGAAGGTTCCCATTACCATCTATTGTCGTTTTCCTCAGTGGCTGCTGATACAGATACAGCGTTGGGGCTTTCGGATTTCTCCAGAATCTAGTTTCCCAGGGAGTAACACAGTTCAGCGATTTTTACTGCTTGCCTTAAGGAGAACCCCGCTAACCCCAGGCCCCAGGTCAGGGTCGGACCTCCCTGCCAGAGGGTCCCCCGCACCTTGTGGCGAAGACAGCGTAATTCTCCAGGGGCCCCAGTTCCTCGGCCGCAGAGGTCTCGCCGCCCTTCCCCTCCAGCGGGCGTCGGGGGCTGGCAGTCCCGGAGACTTCGTGGTCTAAGCTAAAGGAGGCACGGCCCCCTTCCATGTCTGTGGTCTTCCAACCTGGAAGCAACGTCAGGACCGCACATTTGCCCCCAGGGCTCCCGCCGGGAACTCGGGGAGCGCCCGAGGCCCCGCCCGCAGCCCCTGAGCCTCAGAGAACCCAAGACCCTCCCTGAACCGCGCCGGAGCCTGGGCCGCCACCCACCGGCCCCGGGCCACCATCCCTGGGAGTTCAGGGAGGCCAGTCGGAACCATGGGCAAATTTCGCCCGCGTCCCCAGGTGTCCCTGTCCCTTCGTGGGCGGGAATCACAGCAAGGGCGGTCGCCGTCACGTGGCCCGTGCCCACTATCGTCCAAGGAGCGCCGCTTACAGCGGGTCTCAGCCACGGGCCTCGGAAGCCAGCGCTCAAGGGTGGGCTCAGGAGACGCCGCGCCCACCTAACCCCACACCCCCAGCCCTTCGGCCCCTCCCCGGAGTGGGGACGGCGAGACTGGCCCCCACCCGCCGCCTCACCGAGCTCCGGGATCCCCCTAGCCCCGGCTCCCAGCGCCCCTGCCGCGGGACCGCACCAAGCAAGGCTCGGAGAGCTCGCGTCGGACAGCACGGAGACCGACGAGACCGCAGCCGCAGCGGACGCCAGCGCTCCCGCCCCGACTACTCGCCAGCCCTGTGCCCCCGGAGAGCGTCGCGTTTCCCTGGAGACAGCCCCGCCCCGTGCCCGCGGCCACTCTCCGGCTCCACCAATCCCCGCGCCAGGACGCACCCGGCCCCGCCCCCGGGCGTGCCCGCCCTCTGTGACTTCAGCGGCTCAGGTCCCGGCCGCCAGCCCGGCCTGGGTCCCAGCCTCCCGCTTACCCGGTCAGCCCCTGGGCTGAGTGCCCCTGGTAGAGAAAGCGCTAAATTCCCCCAACACTCCCGTGAAGGCGGCACGGGGAGCGCCGTGGGACACCTGAGGAAACTAAGGCCCAAGTGTTAACTTGCCCTGATCACCTGGCACGTGGAGCCACAGCTTGATCAAGCCCTGCCTGATTCCAGCGCCAGCCTTTGTCCATTCGGTAAATGTGGAGGGCGCAAGGGGAGCTGGAGGCCTGCGGAGGGAACGAGATGAGGGAGGCCGCAGGCGTCACCGCAGAGAAAAGGGATTGGCTGTCTTGGACCAAGGGTCTTAGGGAAGGCCTGCGGGAGAGAGGATTCCTGATGGGGCTTCGCAGGATGCACAGGAGCTCTCCAGGCTACAGAGCGCATTTCAGGAACTGGACTGGGATGTACAGAGGCACCACGGTGGGAAACAGCTAGGCCTTCCTGGAGAGGAGAGGCTCTTGGAGGGGCAGGGCTTGCGTTTCTCAACACAGACTGCCTCTGAGAACAGGGGAGGGTGTGTGAAGAGCCGATGCCCTGGCCCTCCCCACTAACTGACTTTCCAGGGACTAAAGCTGGGCCAGGATTCTGGGGTTCTAGGGGCACTGCCTCCACATGCCAGCGCCTGTCTCTCAGTTCACTTCTCTCTACAGTAAAATCTCATACCACGACCCAGTACAAACAACTCAGAAAAATGTTTCATTAAAAGTTCACCATACTACATGCATGCACTCCAATATTTTCATGTAGTCTACTATTTCTCTAAAAACTAAAATGCTTATTATCATGACCCACAGAATTGATTTCACAACCCACATTAGTTGTGAATTACAACTTGCTAAGGAGTCAGAACCAACATGTAGAAACACTCCGTTCTTACCAAGTACATTCTGGTTACACTGTGGGGGAGACAGAGGCGGGCCTAGACTGTGTGTGGCATTGAGGTGCAGAGACACTTAGGATGAACTGGTTCCCAATCCATGAGCTCAATGGTGTGGGAGCATGATGGTTCAAGTAGCAGGCTTTGGAGCAGAAAACCCACCTCAACCATTCTCCAACCATAAAGGGTGATGATTCATGAAACAGTCCACAAGGAGGGACTTCAGGTTTTGTTTGATTCATTTAAGTGGCCCAACAGTGGCATCAAGGACCTTGGCTCTCCCATCTCCTCTGCTTTCACCCAAGGCTGGCTTCCCCTTATGGTCATGAGAGAAGAGAGGAGCCTTCCAAAGTGCTCTCTCCTCCATGGGTTATTAGACACCAAGCCCATTCCCAGAGCAGTCACAGGAGTGTGGCCTTTACTTTTGGCCAGAGATAGGGCCAACTCCTAGAAGGTGGAGGGAGACAGTGTCCCAACCTAATCAATGGCTCCCATGAACTATGGGGAAAAAAAGGGAATTCCACTCCTTCTCCATCCCAGGAAAGCTGGAGTCCTTCCTTAGGGTGAAGGAAGTGGGAAATAGATGCTGTTAAGACCTCCACGGAGGTGATGTCTGGAGCTGCAACCAGTGAAGACCTGGCTGCAGACATATTTGAGTCTTTAGCTCAAGAGTGAACCCCAGGCTGCAATAAAGATCTGACAGTTACCAATACTAGATGGCTGATGGAACAAAGCAATGAAGATAACCCCGAGAGAGACTTCTAAAACTGAGACTTCAATCGCTAAATGTCTGCAGGGCTGTGAGACAGTTGATTTTCACGGTATCCATTCCCTGAAAATTACCAGACGTCAGAAAAATTGAAGGGATCTTAAATGGCAACTTCATGGACATTAAGTGATATTAAATTTTTTAAAGTTACAATGCTGACCCCCATAAATTACTAAGATAGAGCAAAAGGAATAGTGTGGTCTATGAAGAAGTGATGAAAATAGAAATTAGTTTTATGAACCACGTGTTGTAATACACAGAAAAAAAAATGCACCAGTTACAATGCGCGTCACAAAAAGGAACAAACGTAAAGCCGACAACGCAGTCACTAGGGAAAGGGGGAAGACACGGGAACCACGCTGCCCGCCGTCCACAGGCCGGGGCAACCACGGGGCCCTAGCCGAACGACTGGGTCACGCAGTGGGCAGGCCCGGCCGAGCCACGCCTCCGCGCCAGGCACCGCAGTAGAGCGGACAGGGACGCCGCTCAGCGCAGGCGCGAGCCCAGTACCGCAGGCCGCCGGGGCAGGGAGGACGGCGCCTGAGGACAGCGAGCAGGGGACGCAGAGCGGTCCAAGGCGCCGGAGCCCTGGCGAGGCCCAAGCCTTCTGCCATGTCCCGGCCCCCACGAGGCCCAAGCCCTCTGCCCCGGCCAGGCGCCCACGGGAGGCCCAAGTGCCGGCCTGGTCCACTTCGGAGGCCTCTAGGACCCGGGGGCGCCCGGCTCCCACAAATAGACTGAGCCCCAAAAATAGATCCTCAGGGCGGGCGCCCGAGCCCCAAGCAGACTCTTCGGCGGGCGCCATGGAGCCGGGAGACGCGGGGCGCCGCGTGACCGCCTCGCCAGTGCCGCCGCCGTTCGTGCGCGTCGCGCCCTCGCTCTTCCTCGGGAGCGCGCGCGCCGCGGGCGCGGAGGAGCAGCTGGCGCGCGCGGGAGTCACGCTGTGCGTCAACGTCTCCCGCCAGCAGCCCGGCCCGGGCGCGCCCGGCGTGGCAGAGCTGCGCGTGCCCGTGTTCGACGACCCGGCAGAGGACCTGCTGGCTCACCTGGAGCCCACGTGCGCCGCCATGGAGGCCGCGGTGCGCGGCGGTGGCGCCTGCCTAGTGTACTGCAAAAACGGCCGCAGCCGCTCGGCCGCCGTCTGCACCGCCTACCTTATGAGGCACCGAGGCCTCAGCCTGGCGCAGGCTTTCCAGGTGGGCGGGCCTTTAGAGGACCGGTGTTTCGAGAGGGGCGTGTCTTCCGGGGACGGGTTTTCCGGGCGTGGCGGGCTTCGGGATTGGGAGAGGTACTTCCGGGAGGGGCGGGTCTCTCTCGTAAGGGCGGGCTTAGGGAAGCGGAGAGGCACTTCCGGGTTGGGCGGGGCCTTTGGCCCTTTCTGGCCATTAGGGCGACTTGGGGTTATTCAATGCACTTCTTGTTTGCAGATGGTGAAGAGCGCTCGCCCGGTAGCGGAACCCAACCCGGGCTTCTGGTCTCAGCTCCAGAAGTATGAGGAGGCCCTCCAGGCACAGTCCTGCCTGCAGGGAGAGCCCCCAGCCTTAGGGTTGGGCCCTGAGGCTTGAAGCTTGAAGCTTGAAGGCCTACTGCCTGGAGGAAGGATGTTCTGCACTGATACTGGAGGCTGGTCTTTGCCCTCCTTCCTCACTGTCGCATCGAGTTTTCCTTTTTGTGTGTGTGTGAAACAGTGCTTTCAATTTTATGTTTCTGGCTGAGCTGATGAACAAATTATCTTACAGACACAAAAAAATACATTTGGTAAAACACTGAAGACAAATTAAGAAAAAGCAAATAGAGGTCCTCCATTATTGATACCCCAGAATCTTGAGTGTTTGGGAGTGCCAGCGCATTCTACCAGTCTCAGTGAAGGACATGAGTACAGACTACAGTCATCAGAATCTGAGTCATAGGTGAAATCAGGAAAAGCAACTCTTCTTGCGTTTATTTTTAGTAGTGTCATAAGAATGGACTGGTTCTTCCTGCGTGACCACAGATGCTTCTGTTTGAGAAAATGCAAACCCACGTGGGACATTTAGAGCTATAGCGCCGTTGACAAAGACATTGTTGAAGAGCAACTTGGGTGATTGGGGAAATATTCTTTTCACCAGCCCCTCTGCAATAAAGCTGAAGCCGTCCTATAGGAGTTCAGATAATTACGGACATCCCTTTTCTTTCTTTCTTTTTTTGTTTGTTTATTTGAGACGGAGTCTCCCTTGCCCAGGCTGGAGTGCAGTGGCGCAATCCCGGCTCACTGCAACCTCCGCCTCCCAGGTTCACGCCATTCTCCTACCTCAGCCTCCCGAGTAGCTGGGACTACAGGCACGTGCCACCACACCCGGCTAGTTTTTTGTATTTTTAGAAGAGACGGGGTTTCACCATGTTAGCCGGGATGGTCTCAATCTCCTGACCTCGTGATCCACCCACCTCGGCCTCCCAGAGTGCTGGGATTACAGGCGTGAGCCACCATGCCTGGCCTCCTTTTTCTATTGCTAGAGAACTCCAGGACATTAAGAATTTCAAAAGCGAATTTTTCTCCCATAGCTTCTATGGTGACAGAGTATGGTGTTCCTATAGTGAAAACAAAGCCAAGTTTTTTTGCTCCTTTCACTAAAGCTGCTTCATCTGGGGAGGAAGCCTGGTAGATTACATATTTCCATCTCTCTCAGGGATAACAGTGTGGCACGCAGATAACAAGGTAAGAAATTGTTCTATATAGTTTTCTGTGGGATGGCCATTCTCAATGTTCTCAAATAAATTGTGGTCATTAAAATGTCAGGGCTCGGATGGAAGGTGTTGCACCATAAATTACACCTGCAGTGGTATGCTGCTTAAATCTCTTAATATTGCAAGTGAGCGTTCCCATTTTATCAGAAAATAGATATTTTACCTGCTCAAGTTCTTCACTGAGATTGAATGTGCTGACCATGGTGTGGACACTATTTAGTTTATAATGCACATCTTGATCCCAGTTTATAAACTGGGCCTGAATATATTTCACAATTTCCATAGTGACCAGCAGACTAATGGGGATAAGGTTCTGTTATACAATGATGAACACCAGTATGTCAAACACAATGCCGTAAGCTGGAATCCTCTTTCAGGTACCAAATGTCACCATACTTTTTATTCCATAGCATGGCTCCCACACAGGTCACCATGGACGTGACCAGAGCAGCAGGAACGACAGGGAGACCCACACATTGTCACTTTCTAATCTCAAGGTGATTTGACAGAATTCTGCAGGAATTTGGTTTCAAATCCAGTGTAAACAGCTATGCCAGTGATCCACTGAGCATTTCTTTTTTTTTCTTGAGACAGTCTCACTCTGTCACCCCGGCTGGAGTGCAGTAGCGCCATCTCGGCTCACTGCAAGCTCCACCTCCTGGCTTCATGCCATTCTTCTGCCTCAACCTCCTGAGTAGCTGGGACTACAGGCACCCGCCACTACACACGGCTAATTTTTTTGTATTTTTAGTAGAGACGGAGTTTCACTCTGTTAGCCAGGATGGTCTATGATCTCCTGACCTTGTGATCTGCCCGCCTCAGCCTCCTAAAGTGCTGGGATTACAGGAGTGAGCCACGGCGCCTGGTAAGTCTACTGAGCATTTCTAAGCTGTTTATCTCTTAACAAGACCTGGTCAGGCCCAACTGGAACAGGGCTTTTACCACTTAGGCCGCAGCTCAGCTATTGAAATGATGATCAGGTGCTTCACAGTCTGTTTTTCCAGATAGGTCGAACAGCTGGTTTTCTGTTTGCATTTCAGCTGTTTCCGGCAAAGCCTGCCATGTCTTACATTTGTCTCTTTCCAGATTAGATGTTGCTATATAAACACATCGACTGAGGCTCACTGGAACACATCAAGACTGTGCCTGCAGGAAGGAGCTCCCCGTTCGAGGCCTTCACAGTGTCACCACATTCACCTCTTTCCACTTAATCATGTGCCGTGAATCCTGTCGTAACAGTCTTGTGTTCCTTAACTATTTTGTCTGCATGTCATTTATAATGTATAACCTCTTTAATGTCTGAAATCTAAGAATAATCATCACAGGTAAGAGGGTTGTATATTTCCCGTTGGAGACACATCTGGAATTTGCTGCAATAAAGTAATAAGAAAGCATTGGCTGCTTTGGTAAACTGCAGATTCAAAAATTGAGGGAGAAATGACCACACACTGTACTTGACTGTACATATAATTGTTGACTATGGGTTGCAGAAATTTCTCTCGAGCATCATCACCACTTTTGCTCAGTTATCAGTAGTAATAACAGCAATCAAAACTAAAACTGCTCCAGATGCCTCTCTAGGAAGTATGGTTTTCCATCCTTCCTACTGCTTTCTTCACAAGAGAATCCTCTGCCTCAGTGGCAGGCTGAAGGGCCCGGTCCACGGTCTTTACCACCAGTGACCTTCGAGCTCCATGGTCCCGCTGCACCACGGCCGCCCAGTGCACCTGTCTCCACACTGAGTTTTCATTTTTCCCAGTTAAGCTCCATCTTCCTGAAATGCAGCTCAAGAAGGTCTCTGTCCTCTCTTGATGGTGGGGCAGGGGTCTGTGCATCAGACTGCACAGACCCCTGCACCACCACGTGCTCCGTCCTCTCCCTGTGGTCAGCTCAGCTTATTAAACAAGCCTTGGTCAGGAAAATCTAAACCACTTATGGAACTGTGGGCGGAAAGAAACTGAATGCAGGGAGAAGGCTGGGGAGCCAAGGACAGGAGATGGGACATAGGGGAGTCACAGGGACCTGCCACCCAGATCCTCACTGCCTGATGTCCTGGCTCTGGAGGTGCCAGCAGAGCCTCCTGCCCACCAGCTGCTGAAGCCAAAGGGCATCTCCTTCCTCCCACCTCCCGGACCGCTCACTGGTCACATCTTGGCACCACACATGGGAAGCCCCTACTGCGACAGGCAGGGGAGAAGGAGGCTGTGCCGACTGACGGCCCGGTGAGGGAACCTGGGTGGCTTTCAGCATCTGCACCCCTCTCCTACTTTGACCTGTTTCACCAACATTGCACCCCACCCTAAAGTCACATAGCTACTGTCAAGCCCGCAAAGGCTGCCTCTCCCGCCTTGGGAGGATGGAGTCCCATAAGCCACCACTGGAGGCTTCCGAGCATGTTGGTTCCTTCTCTAGTTCAGACACAACCTCTCCTGGACATCCTGTGGCCTAAAGACTATCCTAGAATCAACACTCCTTAAATAAGAGTGGGGAAAGAAAAGGAAAATGTGTGTAATACATGTGAATCACAGAGAATGTAGTCATTGGTTAATATATACACATACATGTATGTATATTCTGTATGTGGCAATGAGTAAAATACTGTAGTTGGCGCTTATCTGCCTTTTCCAATACTCGTTCCATGTTCTACCCTCAGCCAGTGCCTAAGCTGCTTGTGGCCTTCACCTGGTGGCGTGACTTGATCCTTAATTTTTAAGGCCCCAGGCCCTGTGTGGCTGCCCACACAGGTGCTGTGGCCTCTGTTACCTGTACTGCACCACCAGAGAGAAGTAGGAGGCACCACTCTCCCTGGCCCCCAAGCCTCACGAAGCCCCATGCCCACCTGCCAGAGCCAGTCCTGTGTTGTCTCATGCTTCCGTGGCTGGGCCGTGGCTGAGCCACCCTCCCAGTGAGAGCCGGTTGTGTTCCTAAGCAAAACCATCCCACCTGGGGACCCACCAGCTCTGATGCAGCAGAGCCCAAAGCTGGGGGGATGGGAAGCACGATTCTGTGAGCCAGGCGTGGGGGTGGTAGTGAGAAGGGCCTTCTCCCCACGCCTTGTGCACCTGGGCCTCAAGCACAGGCCACACCTTGTCGGTCGCTGCCCCTCTATGCCCAGTGTCACCAGTCAGCATCACCCATCGCTGTGTACCGCGGCCCCCATCATAAACTGGTGCCCAGGGCAGCCGCCATCTCTGTGGAGGGCTTGCCTGCCGCTGGCCTCTCTAGATAAGCTCCTCACGACTCATGCAACCTTTTCAACAGCCCGGAAGGAAGCAGTCGCCAGTCTCCACTACCAGGTGAGGAGCCCTGGCTTGGAGAGGAGGGAGGACCTGGGCCTGCGGTTTCCCCTGCGGCTCAGCCCTGCTCACAGCACCCTGATGAAAACCTTGCTACCCTCGCCTCAGGGCAGGGCACACCCTTTACCTGCTGACCTGGCCCTGGTGACAAGAGGACAAGGGCAGCAGGGCCCCGGCCAGGTTGAAGGACATCTGTGGGACACATCAGACCTTTTTACCCCACCAGCTCCGTCTGAGAACTGGTAGCTCCCTGGTCCTCTGTCTGGGGAGGACGCAGCCCCGTCTGAACACCGCTTTTTCCTGGAAGCTTTGCTGCCCTCCCTAGCCTGCTGGAACCCTCCATGCCCACACCCACCTCCTAGGGGGTGAAGCCAGGGAGCCCTCCCTCAGGCGCATCAGGGGAAGACTGGGGTGCAGATGCCGCGCAGCCACTTCATTGCGCTGATCCCCAAAAAGCTGGAATATGAAAATTCCTGTGGGAGAAACCCAGGGCTGACAGTCCCGACGTCCAGGCTCCTCTTCCTGGGTTAGAGAAGTCAGAGGTGCCTGCCCCGGCCTGGCTGCGGCGCAGCCTCCCGCCGCCAGGGGATGCCAGGCAGGCGGGGGCGGGGCCTCCTCGGGCTGGGCGGGGCCGGCGCGAGAGGCGCCCGCAGCGCAATTGCAGACCCCGCCCTCTCGGCTCAGCCGCGCCTCCCGCACCGTGGGGTGCAGTAGGGCAGCTCCTGGCATAAGTGTGCGGAGCACACTTGTGGGCCCCTGGGGAGGAGGTGCCACAGCAACTCTAGACTCCTGTGTGCAGAACTGGCCGCGGAGAGGTGCCCAGGGCAAGACCCCAACCTCTGCTCCCTGAGTCCAGTGCGGGGCTTAGGGTGGCAAGCCCCCAAGCTCCCTGTGGTGACTTGCCCCCCGGGCGGCCAGGCCCAGCTAGTGTGGCACCGCGTGTGCAGAACTGAGGTTCTTCCAGCCAGGTACATGGCCCGGTGGGCTCTGGAGAGCCTGTAGAACTGGGGGTGCCCTCGAAAACAGTATGCCCTTGGCACTGCAGGGCCCCACCGGGCAGGGCGCTGGGGGCAGTGAGGAGGGTCCCATCCCAGTTGTCTTCCCTGTCAGCCTTGGATGCAAGGCTGATCACATCTCTGAGTGACTGTGTAAGCCTAGGGGCTCCTGGTGAGTTTGGGATGGGTGCCCCAAGATCGTGGCCGTGTCCCTGAAAAGGGCACGTGGGCACCTGAGGTCCTATGGGAAAAGTGAAATGATGCCTCAGTGCTCTGTCCCGCAAACGTGAACACACACTCTCCCTCTCAGCCTTCCTTCCCGCCCCATGGAAGGAGGGTAGACATGGAGGGTTACACATCGGGGAGGCTGAGTCCAGACACAGGAAACGCTACTCAGGGCTGACGCTGAGTCAAGTGCGGTACCCGAGTCCAGCCCTGCACTGCCACACCTCAGTGCAGCAGAGGAGAGCGGTGTCTTGGGTTCCCGGATAGTTCCCCAGCCCCAGAAGCCCCTTGTCCCTAGGAATTTTAATTCTTACTTGATGACAACAGCGACATCATGGTGGTTCCTGTTAATCCACAGCCTCAAAATTCACCCGCTGTGAGCTCACTAGCAGCTTCTGCCAGGCAAGTAGCCCTTCCCTCGGGGCTCAGGCTCCTGGACTGGCTCAGCCTTGGGCAGCCTTCGCCAGGTCCGCAGAGAATAGCGTTGGGAAGGGTGGACCTGGCGGATGGGGTGGGGACAGGCAGGCCAAGCCCTCGTTCGTACCCCAGCACAGGGCTTGAGAGGTCCCCAGCGCTGCCCAGAGGAACTTCTGCGATTGTGGAAATGATTCCTGCCTGCTTTGTCCATTAGCCACTCCTCCCAGCAAAACACACACACTCACTCACTCCACCTGCCACCAAGGAACTGAACTTCTAACTGTATTTAATTCGCATCTAAATGGCCACACGTGGTTGGTGGGTGCTGTAGTTGACAACGCCGCGTGAAGGCTCCGGAGCTCCTCGCACCGCAGGACCCACAGCACAGACCACACCGGTAGACTTGGGGGAGTGGCAGGGATGCCAGGAGAATCCTGCCTTGCCCGTAGCCCCGGATGGAAGGATGACATTGAGTTCGCGACGCTGCGCTCCTCGGGAGCACGAACCACACCTGGAAGCAGCCTGCCCCGGTGGCCCCAAGGTTCCCAGGTCCCTTCAGCGGCTGCCCCAGGGGCCTGGCCGGCAGTGTCCGGGAAGAAGCAGCGATCCCGCCTCCTGGGATCTCCCGGGCGCCGCCTGGGGAGGGAGCGAGGGGCTGGGGGTCCTGCTCAGCCGCTCCGCGCGCCTCGGTTCCCAACACAGCGCCCCGGCCCCGGGCCGCGCTCGATTCCCCGGCTCCCCGCGCCCCTGGCTCCCGGCCCTCCCCGCCCGGCGCCCCGGTCCCGCGCCCGGCCCGCGCTGGCGCCCCGGCGGCAGCCGGCGGAGCCAGGCAGGGCGGCGCACAGCTGAGGCCGGGCCGAGCGCTCCCGGCGCGACTTCCTGTGTGCCCGCGCCCCGCCGCCGCCGCCCGGCGCCCTAGCCCGCTGCCCGCGGCCGCGGCCGCCATCTACATGGATTTCACCTAGTACCGGCAGCCAGCGGCGCGCAGTGCTACTGCCGCCAGGCACCCAGCGCCGAGACCGCGCCCGTCGCCCGCCGCCCGAGCCGCCGCCCGCCTGGACGTGGCCTCGGCCTCCAGCCGCAGCTCTTCCACCTCCGCCACCTGCAGCTGGGCCTGGAGCTTTGCGGCGAAGCGCGCGAGCTGACCCGGCTGCCTGGTGCTCGAGCTGTACGCGCTGCGGCTTCGCGCCCCGCGCTCGTGCTCGACACGCACCCACGGCCCTGCGCCTGCATTCGGCCGCCTTCCGTCGCGCCCCCGCCGCCGCCGAGACGCCCTGCGCCTTCGCCTTCTCCGCCCCCGGGCCGGGTCCCGCGCCGCCGCCCCCGCTGCCCGCCTTCCCCGAGGCGCCGGCGCCGAGCCGCCTGCTGCCCGCTGGCGCTTCAGGGTGGACCGTTCACGACTACGGCTCGCTCACCGTCACGCTGCCGCCCGAGCTGCAGGCGCACCAGCCCCTTCCAGGT